ATTTCATTAGCAATTTAACTGGCGAGTTTACGGGACATCGAGCCCAAATAAAAAAGTTATGGGCAGTTTTAAATGCAATCAAATTTTGGACGTGTAGGTTTTGACTGATTTATTATGGAGCAAAAAGTGTTTGAATTTCTGCTATGGTACCAAAGGGACAAGTTTGAACAGAAATTTGAGATTTTTTCCATTTATAGAAAACACTTCAATCTAAAAGGCGTGTGAATTTAATTAAAATAGTGGTGAGTGCTGATTTTAGGCAACTACGACTATGCAGGCCAAAATGCATGTTTTCACCCAATCACACGCGCTCGTTTAAAAATTGCCATCTTTCGATTGCAATCGACGAGCAACTTGATTTTCTTTCCGTTTATAGAAAACACTTCAATCTAAAAGCTTTGTGAATTTCATTAGAATAGTGGTGAATGCTGATTTTAAGCAACTAAGACTATGCGGTCCAAAAATGCATGTTTTCACACAATTACACGCGCTCTATTAAAAATTCGCATCTTTCGATTACAATCGAGGAGCGACTTGAATTTTTTGCCGTTTATAGAAAGCACTTCAATCTAAAAGTTTTGTGAATTTCATTAGAATAGTGGTGAATGCTGATTTTAAGCAACTAAGACTATGCGGTCCAAAAATGCATGTTTTCACACAATTACACGGGCTCTATTAAAAATTCGCATCTTTCGATTACAATCGAGGAGCAACTTGTAATTTTACTCATTTATGGAAAACACTTCAATCTAAAAGTCATTTGAATTTCCTTAGAATAGTGGGTGAATAATGATTTTAGGCAACTAAGTCTATGTTGGCCTAAAAATGCATGTTTCCACATAATTACACGCGGTTTTAAAGATTCCATAGAAAATACCTCGGTATAAAAGTGGTGCAAATTTCATTAGAATCGTGAAGAATGCTGATTTTTACCAATTAAGTCTGTGCTGCCGTAAAAACGCAAGAGATCATACAATTACAAACGCTCTTTTAAACATATCGATCTGCTGATTGAGCTGAAGTTGCAACTTGAAATTTTCTCCATCTATAGAAAGCACATTAATCTAAAAGATGTGCGAATTGTGAAGAACACCGATTTTTTCCAGATAAGTATGTGCTGATCTAAAAGTGAAAGTTGTCACTCAATTACACGCGCTCTTTGGAAAATGTGCGGTTTTTGATCGCGATCAAAGAGCAACTTGAAATTTTCCCTACCTATAGAAGATATCTCAGCCTAAAAGGACTGTGAATTTTGTTGAAATTGTGCATAATCCTGATTTTTGCCATTTAAGTCTATGGTGATCTAAAAATGCAAGTTATCATACAATTACACGCACTCTTTTAAAAATTCCCATCTTTCGATTACGCTCGAGGTTCAACTTGAAAGTTTACCCGTTTATAGAAAAATTCTCAGTCGAAAAGTTGTTTTTTTTTCACATTTCATTAGAATTGTGGTGAATGATGATTTTAGGCAACCGTCTATGGTCGCCTAAAAATGCATGTTTCACTCAATTACACGCGCTCTTTTAAAACGAGCAACTTGAAATTGAATTGAAATATCCATAGCAAGAACTTTAGTCTAAATTTTTTACGAATTCCACTAGAATGGTAAATAATTCTGATTTTTACCAATTAAGTCTATGCTGATCTAAAAATGAAAGTTGTCACACAATAACACGCGCTCTTTGAAGACTGTCTATCTTTTGATACCGTTGATGTTGGATGTAGAAGTTTAAAATTTGCCCATCAATTGCCAACACGCCCATCTACAACTGGTATGGATTTCATAGGAATCCTAGTCAATGACGATTTTTGCCACTTAAGTCTATGCGAGCCTAAAATGCAAATTGTCACACACTTACACGCGTGCTTTTAAAAATTCGTATCTTTCGAACGCGCTCAAGGAGCAACTTGAAATTTTGCCCATCTATGGACAACACTTCTCTCTAACAGTTTGGAGATTGTTATTAAAATCGCCCTGAATGCGGATTTTTTCAATTCAGTCTATCCTGACCGAAAAAAGGGATGTATTAACCCAATGACACGGACTCATTTAAAAATCCCGACCTGCTGACTGCAAAGTACTAACAACTTTAAATTTTACCCATCTGTAGAAAACAGGTTAATCTAAAAGTTATGTCAATTTCATTAGAATTGTGAAGGAAACTGATTTTTGCCTTAACTTAAAAAGATAAGTTAAAGCTAGTTTAAAATTGAACGTTTGCACACAGTTACACATCAAACCTAATTCACTACGTAATATAAAAAAATTATTGCAAATATTAAAAATTGGCTTTCGTTAATTAAAACTAAATAAATTTGTTGATGTTTGAATTTAGCAATTTTTTTCAAAACCGTTATGGAATTTAGTTTAGCTGGCACAAGAAAAGCTCTCATGTGCATGTTAAAAGTCTGGAAATTAGTTGGCGATTTCGATTTGACAGAGGAGCGAACGAAATAAAGATAAATATCCGACTGTATCAACAGTCCCGAGCATAAACTTTTCATAGGAAATATTTTATACTTTTGCTTTTTTATAATCAAAACATGTCGGAGTCTTATGAAAAATAATATTTTGCTTTCGCTATTTATAGCGAGGTTTACGCCTCGGCCAAGCAATCGCGTAGTGCTTGATAAAGCAACGAATTTTGCAAACTAGAAGGCCTGATTGGTAGTGTTGAACCCAATCGATTTTAAACCAAATGGTTTTGAGACAAATGAAAAATTTCCAAAGTCAACAGGTTTAAGAATCCAGGGCCAAATATCGTTTTTTTTTGGTTAAACTCTCTAGTCTTGGGTGTCATTGCGGGGAACATTAGTCGAAAATAAATGTACCAAAAGGTTCACTTTCCGGCACTTGCAAAAAGCCGTAAATTAGGAACAAGAAAGAAAACCTCTGGGAAATGTGCGCTTTTAAGTGCCAAAGGCACTTTATGCAGGATTCCACAAATTCGGCTTTAGCAGGAAAATCCTAAAGGATTTTCTGAAGAACTTTGAGGAATAATGAGTTCAAACAACTGCTTAACGCACATTTCAGATGAACTATTTCAGCAATCCAGTTGTTGCCAGAATAATTTCCTTAAATCTCTCGACCAAAATATAAATACCGAAAATTGCCTGGGTTTCATGTGAAAAACCAACTGAATATAAAAAATGTCCTCATTTTAGTGCTTCTCAGAATTTAGACAAATGTAGAAATTAGAGCTGGTGCATAAAAATAAGAAGCCGAGAAAAAAGCAATGACAAAAGGTGGATCTGAATTGAAAAAATTGCTATAACCGGATGAAGAACTTTCCTCATTCATTCATTCATACGAAGCATAAACTTGCGAAGCTAAAGTTTTGGAGAAGGCTTTGTGATGTATCAACTAAATCAACCACCTGCCTAATTGCCCAAATATAAATATTGCCTGATGTCAGGCAGGTTTATTATGTTTAAGCAAGTTTCCGCAAACATTAACAAACGCAGCTAGATTAATCCCATTCCAGGTTGTCCAGTCTTTCTAGCTGCTTGGTCTAACTCTTATTGAGCGATTATGAGTACTGAACTGATTTGAATAAAACTTGAAATTAGTACTGGCAACTCATATATTTTCTCTATAATAAATCTTTATTAGTTGGATCGTTTTAAACATCCACGTTTACTTATTGATACGAAAATAGAATCTTGATTATTTATTGTAGTCTATTATCAAGGTTATATCGGAATTTAAATTTCGGTCCAAACAGTTTTATTTTTAACACTTAATGGGGCCGTTTAAGAATCTCTTATTGTACATTTCGCACCTTCGGCTAATTCATGTTTAAACTAACAGTGGAAGTGAGTGAAACCGATAAAGACAATGTAAAATTATTTATCGATTGCCAACAAAACTGTTTACATTTGCAACCTGCTAAAGCTAACGCCGGATGGGATAGACGAAACCAATTTATGGATAAGCCTGTTTCACATGAAAGAAAATATCCAGAAAAATTCAAATCGGCGATATTTGGGACAAAAATAAAAATCCTTGACCATGTGTGGCGGCTGTTGCGGAAAAATTATATAATACGATATTGGGTCTGGGAATTACTGCATTTTTTTGTTGATTTGCTCATTTAAAATGCATATTTTTCACAACTGGAACCTCAAAAATCTGGTTAGGTTTTTTGGGGCTTTTGAGCCGTCGAGGAAATGAATTTATTCCTGATGTTTCCAAAGCACCAGTGGCTTGCGTTTTCGGAGATGGTTTGATCGGGTCGAACTCTGAAGATGCATAATACTTAGATTAATGCAGCCAACGCGAGCTCGGAATCAGCAGACTCCATGCGAAATCCATATTTTAAAACACTGTACAAACTGTTCTTGCAAAATTGCTCAAAAAAAGATTTAATAAAAACAATTTTTTTAGATAGAAAATGAACGAACGAAAGCGAAAAAACGAGCGGTTCTTGGTTGAGATGTTTGAGGTAAATAGTCACATCATGGAGTCGTAGAGAAATATTCTTAAGTAGCACTTTGTGGCTTTTTAAAGGAAAAGTTCCACCCCAAGGAAAGCTACCCAGCGAACGTCAGTTAGATCAACTGAACATATTTTGTAATTGTTTTTAAATAAAATAAAAATGCATTTAGGTTTAAATACGCTTCGGTTTGGCGGTTATACACCCTAGACTGAGCCGCACAAAGTTTCTCGTCTATTTTTACGTTGAAAAACATTGCGAAAACTACTCTGTATCTCTTGCCAAAATCTGATATTTTTGTTTCGAAGTAATTCCACTTTTCCAAGTTGGTGTCTCGCAGTTTTTTGAGTCAGTCCGGCGGGTAGACCGTGCAAATTTTCACTCACTTTGAAAAAAACCGACCTTGTCAGTTACCGGCGTGCCTCAAAAGTGCATCTGCTAGCGAACCAGTGCGGTTTCGTGCTCGATTTTACGGAGTTTGGTGCTTTTTGAGAAGACATTTTTCAACTCAAAACTTTCAGCTGAAAAGGAAACTCCAGCAGCAACTAGATAGTAGATTGGACAGGGCTACAGCAGCAAACAGCTAAGAAAAAAATGGGTTAGCAGCAACTGCCATATCTATTTACCTTCAGCTTACCACGCTCTGTCAGCTGGCCGACTAAAAAAATTCCCAGACAGCCCACGTTTTCTCGTTCGAAAATTGTTGCCAACATTTATCCACATTTTATTTCATCCAATTGTTTGTTACCGGCGGTGACATATTTACTACTGGATCCCATAGATTGAGAGGGTTTTATGCATTCCGACTGCACTCGTGCCAAAAGTCCCAAAACAACATGAACTAACCAGCTGAAATAAAGCTCAAGCTCAGATAATCATGGCGGAAAAAGGGAGCACCAAAAGGAAAACTTTCGGCCGCAGCGCCTCCACTGAAAGCACCGAGTATTCCTTAAGTATGGGAAGATCGGTGAGAAAGAAGAAGCCGAAAGAACGATGGCTATTGACGAGGAAGACTTGGAAGTACATGGCGGATGCTGGCCGGAAACTCATCCCAGATGGGGCACGAAACTGTGTCGAGGACATCCCGAAGATCGAGGCGCATTTCCAGGAGCTCTGCAGAAAAGAACCCAAATTTCTGCTCTGGAGGAAAAACTCCTATCCAGGAGCCATCGGCTTCAGGAAAAAACGCAAGCGTGCCTCTAGGAAAGGAGGCAGCTGCAGAAAGGCCATATCGGAGGCAGAAGTTGACTTTCTAAAACCAGAGCGTCCAAAGGACTTGCTGTTGGAGCCCAAAAATCAAGGCAAGTTTGACTTGAAGAAAATGCGCGAAGACTTTTTGAGCACCCCAACTCCCACAGACGACAACGAGTTAAGCACTATTCCGTCCGCATCTTCGCCACCCCAGCAGGAAATCGAACTAGTCGCAATGTTGGAACAGTACTTGAAGCTAGCAGATACTCCTTCCGCGTCTAGGACTGCAGCTGGGGACTTTAACTACGAAGAACTAGTGAAGAGACTGCAGAAGCATCTGAGTTTGGCTTCAAGCCGCACGAGCTCACCCTCAGGGCGTTCTAGTGGGGACGCCCATCTGTCCCCCAATGTTTCCCCATATTCCAGCCACCAATCCTTGCATAAACCCCATGTGAGTTTCCAAGGGGACAGCGTGCAAAGGACTCTAACTGATACACTCTCCAGATACTTTGGACACTACACAAACAGAGACAAGGTGATTTCTGACTTGCTCACAGACAGAAAGGCGCTGGAAAAGCTCTACTTCGACCTGAGGAAGGCCAAGGGCTTCAGAGGCAGCAGAGGAGGCACTGGATATTCCAGCAGTGGCTTCGATTCGCCTTCCAGAAGATATGATGGATACAGCGGATATTCTAGAGACAAAAAAAGTGACGGCTTTTACTCCAGGCATCCTCCTCCATTGATAGAGATCGAAGCTGAAACCATAGAAATCACTTATAGAGATTGGGGAACGCAAACCTACCCAGTGCCAGAAGGGGTGCTTGCTGAATGCGAGAAGGAGTTTAGGAAAAAACAGGCAGAAGAAGAGGAGGAAAATCGGGAGAAGGAGTACGGTATCAGAAGAAGATCCAGCGTCGACAATGACGATGTCTCTCAAAGCGTCTCGGACACCATTAAACGGTACCTGAGAATGGCCAGGAAGAAGAGCGTGGACTCTGAAAAAGCGGTGGGGTTCAAGCGAGTCAACTACGACAGGAATCTGCGCAACATTAAGGCAAAGGGCGAAATAACCAAGCCAGGGGATGATGATGGCTTGAACAAGGGCTGCCAGACCAACGATGAATGGATTCTCACTTATCGGGACCTAAAAATGGCAGATGTTTACGACATTTCGGACGATAGCAGAGTGTCCAGTGCTCGCAGTAGTATTGATATCGATGTCTTTGAACGAGATGGAGTTAAGAGCAGTCCGAGCAGTCCTCCTAGTGTTAAATCGGGCAGTCATGGCTTTTTAAGCCACTTGCTGCATGGTAGCAAGCACGAGCATAAGGAAAAAGGTTTGTAAATCAGTTGAGGAAAAATGAAATTGAAGGTATGGGGATGTTTTGTTTGGAAGGGAAGAATGGATGCATTGGATAAGAAAGCTGTAGGGGAAACTTGGAAGTTTTCAGTTGACTTTTTTAAAATTTAGCCTCTGTTCTGATTGATTTTTTGCTTTAGATGATTAAGTGGGTTCATGGCACTATTGAGGCTGAGCCTAAATAATGTGTTTATTACACGTACATTGATGCAATGGATTGCCAAATAAGGCCTATTTTTCGCTTAAAAAGTCATCGGCTGATCAAACGATTTACACATTTTCTGCGTTCGAATCACGAAACGCGAGAAACATTTGATCAAGTTTTTCGCAGCTCAAGCCAATAATTTGTTTTTATTTTCAGCAGTAACGGCCACGGCTATGCAGAAAAGCAAGTCGTCCTCCAGTGTTATGCAACAGGGCAGCATGGTAGCAAAGAAGATTTTCCGGTCACGATCTAAGAGTCAGACCAGACCTGCCCAAACGCCCTGTACTTGGACCAATCGGGTAAGAAAGCCGGGTTTATCGATAGATTGATTAAAAAGCCTAATTTAATGTTTGGACCAGACCAATTTGCAAAGTGAAGGGCAAAGTAACTTATTTTTTCTAATCTTGACAAAAGCGCCTTCAATTATGTTGCTTTAAATCCATAAACAGGATCCCTTTTCAGATTTATTTCAGATGTAAACTTTAACTGAAAAGCCAAGAGTATTTTTGCGCAAAATTGATTCTGAGTTGCAAAAAGATTTCTGACAAAAAGTTCCATTCGAAATAAACCAAATAGTCCTGGTCACTAGACTTTGCTCAGTTTGGGAGCATGTCTAGATCAGAACCAATCAGAGAAAGACCGGGACATTTCCATAAAAAAATTTACAGCCATTTGATCAAACGCATGTAATAATTACAAGAGAATAACCTTGGCCAAACTACAACTGTTTTAATGAAAAAAAAAGTGCCAGACAAACGTGGGTAGTGGGTTGTTGAGACACATTAAACGCCTGTAATGAAAGTCTAGTTATTAATAATCCAGTTCCGATCCATCCGAGTTACTCATGAATTTTTTCTTGTTGTCAGCAGTTCACAATAGTCTTTTGTACTGATTACTAAACGCGATTTTTATCTATTTTTTGATTTTGCTTGATGAATTCACTCGCATCAAGCCTGGCATTCAGTATTCTATTTCTGGCCACTCAGCAGCTAGGCCTAAATATTTCCACAAAATCGCATTTCAAAGAATTACCTGTTGAAAATCGGCTGATATTATGGCTCGAAAAGTTGAAAAACATGAAAAATTCCACAGATTCGCAACGCGATGAAAGCAAATGGCAAATTCATGTTACTGCGAATGTGCTAGAATATTATGGATTCAGAATCAACCAAAGCTCCCATTCGAGCACTATTAACCACACATTATTATAAGCGAGAAAACACTAATTTAACACCATCAATTTGTGCGTTTGTTTCAAGTAATGCATGCAGCCAATTACAGTTTATTTCAGGATTGGGTATTATCGATTTTCCATATCAACGATGGCCAGTGTTAATAATTAAACGCGTTGAATCAAATAATAAACGGTTTGTTTCTCAGAATAAGGAAACTTAAGAGAACAACTTTTATATTTAGATCAACACTTTGTGCGTATTGAATAGATGCAGCTTTAAATTGTGTCTGTTTCCTTACAGAAGCATGTTTTTGATTGTTTTATTTTAGAGTTTCTCACAGTTTGAATGTGAGAGAATTGAGTTTGGCGATTTTTTAAAATTAATGTTGTCTTGACATTTCATATAGTCTTTTTGAAGTCGCAAACTAACGCTTTGTGAAAAGTGTGTTTTGGGGCACTTTCCAAATTCTAAACAGTGTGGACGATTAAAATGTCTAGAGAACCAAACATTTGTTTAAAGTTTGCTAATAAAACCGAATATAAAAATGGCATAAGCGCAAGTTTTTGTTTTTACCTATTAGAGCTCATCAGCCGGATTTAGGAGTGTATTACAGTAAAAAAGTTATTAACTGTGCTTTGATCCAACCTGAGCATTTGATCAAGTAGCACTCCTCAAATGTGACCCTAATAAAACGCAGTCACAAACACTTACATGGTCTGATTGAAAACATTCTCACTCTCAGACCAAACAAAGTTACGATTCAAAATGTTTCCGCTATAAAGCATGCATATAAAGGAAAACTGAGACAAAGTTTCATGGACACCCAATGTGACTGTAATTTTTCAGAGGGATTTGAACGTGATGCAGCAAATAAGCGATTTCGGTAACTTGCAGAAGCCAATTGAAAAAAGTCTCACGTTGAAACCAAGGCTGCCAATGAAGTGAAATTTTGAGCAAGTCAGCAGAACATTTGAGTTTATGCTGAATTGGAGCTTCTGCCAAAATCAGTACTATTTTGAATTTTTACGAACCTCTCAAATATAGCCCCAGAAGGAAGCACCCTTAAAAACTTACATAGTCAGATTGAAAAAAATCTTCCTTTCAAACCACAGAAGGTTGCAACCCAAATTTTTTTCCCTATAAAACAAACCAATAAAGAAAAGCTCAGAAAAAGTTTCATTGAAATCCAGGACAAATTTGATTTTTCAGAAGCTTTCGAACGTGACGCAGAAAATTTCGATTTTGGACACTTGCAGTAGCCAATCGACAAAATGTCACGTTGAAACCACAGCTGCTAATGAACTGAGATTTGTACCAAGTCAAAAGAGCATTTGCACTGATGCTGAAATGGAGCTTCCGTCAAATTCAGTGCTATTTTCATTTTTCTAGAACTTCTCAAACATAACCCTAAGAGGAAGCACCTTTAAAAACAAACCAAAGATGGCTGCTGTCCAAAGTTGTTCCACTATGAAACAAACCAATAAAGGAAAGTTCAGAGAAAGTGTCATTGAAGTCCAGGGCGAGTTTGATTTTTCAGAGGCTTTCGAACGTGGCGCAGAAAATTTCGACTTTGGACACTTGCAGTAGCCAATTGAAAAAATGTCACGCTGAAAGCAAAGCTGCCTATGAACTGAAATTTTCACCAAGTCAAAAGAACATTTGAATTAATGCTGAAATGGAGCTACTGCCAAATTTAGTGCTATTCTGATTTTTCTAGAATCTCTCAAACATAACCCTAAGAGAAAGCACCTTTAAAAACTTACATAGTCAGATTGAAAAAAATCTGACTTTCAAACCAAAGAAGGCTGGTACCCAAAATTATTCCACTATGAAACAAACAAATAAAGGAAAGCTCAGAAAAAGTTTCATTGAAGGCCAGGGCGAGTTTGATTTTTCAGAGATTTTCGAACGTGACGCAGAAAATTTCGATTTTGGACACTTGCATTAGCCAATTGGAAAAATGTCACGTTAAAACCAAAGCTGCCGATGAACTGAAATTTTCACCATGACAATGAAACATTTGAACTGATGCTGAAATGGAGCTTCTGCCAAATTTAGTGCTATTCTGATTTTTCTAGAACCTCTCAAACATAACCCTAAGAGGAAGCAC